CTATCGTAGAGGCGATATCAGGTGATTAACTGAGGTAGTTACCCGGGATTTAGGTACGGCCAGTTCATCACAGCGCAGGAATGATCATTTGTTTTTTATACTCACATCAAATCTATTATATAAAATAATATATAGGAAATGGAATTTAAGATATCGCCCATAAAAGATGTAGCTGATGTCATCATTGATGCATGGAATTTGAAGTTGATAATTTAGCAAAATTTTTTTTTATGCGATGATAACTTATAAATTAATTATATTCGAATAAAATGATCCAAGCTGAAAACTGAAAACTGCGACCCTTTATTAAGTGTGAATAATATTTTATTTACTTTTAATACTGTAATAAAAATGCTATTGAAACTGAAGGCAATTTTAATATTGAAACGCAATGGAAAATCCGTAAAAATTACGTTAGAAAATTTTATTTGCAATCATAGAAAATAATGAATAAAAAGAAAATTGGCCAAAGGCAAAAAATGGGTCATTCTTTGACGACAGCTACTAACAAACTGAAAAAGAATACATGTACATAAAAAAAAAAAAAAGACCGTTAAAATAATGCAAAATGTTAACGAGAAAATTATATTTCTGTATTTTTTTTAGAACAAATTATATTCCTATCTGTACAATACAAAAATTTTGTTTTTTTGAAACTTATATTAAACATTAAATATTATTATTGTTATTAATATTTGAAATCCGGATACCGATATTGGATTTGAAATTCGGAGATTGACGTAACCTGTCCCAGATTTTCTGTTTGCATGTTCATTGATATTCGAATGTAGTAAAGCTTTTATGTATTTCAGTTATACAATTTAATCATGCGATTTGTAAAATTTTAATTTAATCGTACAATTTATAATTGCCATTATTTAGAGATGGCAGAGGACCGGATTCTTTCAGTTCTTTCGGAACTGGAAGATTGTCAAGAGAAAATGGCATAAAAAAACACCGAATATTGAAAATAATGATTTATGTTCAAAATAGCCTAAAACAGTCGAAATTTTTACTTTGAATCAAAATAATATTTCCGTGCCTCTGCACCCCGGTACCTGATTCAAGGCCGCACGGATGACCAAGGTAATAAATTAACCTCTGGTCTTAATCCATAACATGGTGAAATGTAAATTTTTACAACACTTTATTTGAAATAAATTTAACAAACATTCCTTAAAAAATCACGATTAGTAACCTCTCAACTACCACTATCAATCACCACTATCAATCACAAGCTCATAATAATAAGTGATGCGAGGAGTTATTTTTTTTCTATTTATTTTTTTAATTATTAAAATTCACTAATCTTATGAACATATATATCATTCATTAAATCTTGCATGCTTCCTAAAAAAATGCACTCATATTTTCATAAACTAAAAATGTAGTACAAGTGCTTGGAAGAACTCTCAATGTATTTGGAGCCAAACCTTTATAAAATCCCAATAATCCTTCAGTACTTTTAAAATAGAAAAGTTAGTTATAATATAAATCATTTTTAAACACAAGCTTTTTTTATTACCTATAAACTTTCCTTATCACATCAATTACGCCATTATATTTTATAACAAATTTTTGATTATTTAATCGTGTGCGAATTAGTTGGTATGGATATGTTGCTACATTAGCTATTGTTTTCGAAGACCCAGCCACCAAAATATATTCAATATTGTCCTTAAAATAAAGAAAACATATTACTATTAGTTTATATGTAAAGAAAGTATAATTGGTGAATGATAACTAAACAATTTACCAATCGTTCACGATCTTTTTCAGGAGAAATCTTTAATCTCCATTTTTTCATTTCCTCATAAAACATAAAATGTAAAGCACCATTAGATACGCCTAGTAATCCTGGGACCAACCCCTTATATAGGCCACGAATTCCTTCGTACTTTGCTATCTGGTACAGGCCATCTTGAAAAAATCATAATATAAAATTAGGGATGAATGTTTAGATTAGAGAAATGGGATGTTAATGTCAGCTCATTATAATTTTCATTCTCCTTTCGGTAACTAATCGGTATTTGAAAGAAAATATAATGAGCTGATATTTTTCTGCGTCCTAAATATGAATGCTTATTACCTATCAATCCTTTATAAGCTTCCGGATCTTTACGGCTCGTAACGCACATCCGAGTTTTAACCACCCAAAATGGATTTGTCATGAAAACCGTTATAGCACCTTTTTATACGATTCCGTATTATCCATGTAAAAAAGAATTTTAAAAAAACAAACTTTTTTTTCAAAGTGTTCACCAATAATCATAATTACCTGCCTCAGCTGATGCCAATAAATTTTGTGCCGGTGAGAGTTTTGTTAATTTATCCCCATTAGCCATCCATCGTTTTATTAAATCGTACCTAAGTTATAACCCGATATAATGATAGATCGATGCGCGTTAGTAAGGGGCGTGCCATTTATCACATAATATTTTTACTTAAAATTTGATCAAGCAATGTAGATCATGTGTTATAATTAAATGATAATCAGTTAATCAATTTTATTCATAGTAAAATCCACATAACAAATAGCATTCTCCTTAAACTCTCTTCTATATATTAATTCGAATCATGTTGCCTATTTTTTGATATTAATAATAAACCTACCCATGGTCTGATATACCTCCTTACCAATAAAAATAAAAACCCCAACTGGCTGTTGAACCAGCTAAATTTGGTGAAACTCCCCGATAGAGTCCTATAATTCCCTCTTTATGAACAATTGAGCTCAATGCATTGAATGTAGCACCAAAATGACGTCTACTTAAACTTTTGATCGAATCATCGGCTAAACAGTCGTTCGTTAATTTATTTAATTATATGGCATTTATTAGTGTCAAAAAACTTTCCTTTTCACAAACCCATCTATTCACCCACCTTGAAATCTCGTCTTTACCAAATCCAAAGGATGTAAAATTATCGTAGAGACAGCGCCAGCTGTGAATCCGGCAACGGCATGGTCCTATTAAATTCACAGTTTCAATAAAGTTGCAAGATATTCTATTTTTTAAAAATTATAGTAAAGTAAAAAGAATACCAATGCAGGATTGCCTAAAAAAGATTTGGGCATTCTACTCTTTTCTACTATTTATCGAACGTCGAAATTTTTAAAATTTTTAAAGTTTGAACATGTGATACTGATCAGTCAAGATCAAAAAATACTAAATATATACCGTATTTCTCCGACATGTGTACCCCGTGTGCAACAATTATACCGAACAGGTACCTAAGTATTATATGGGATTTTTACTAACAAACCGATCTTTCGGGACTATGTAAAATATAGTCCCTAAAGGCATTTTGTTAGCAAAGATTAAAATATTATCAAACTTAATAAAACATGTTAAAAAACATATTTATATATAATAACTCCTACATGAGTACCCTGGAATACTCTGGGTACACATGTCGGAGAAATACGGTAATTTTGATTTTAATTCCATGTATTCGAATCTCGATTTGTTTGAATAACGATAATGTCAATAAGTGAATACGCAAACCTTATTCCCGCATCTATCAAAGATGATATTGCCGCTTGGATTAAAGAAGATATACCATCCTTTGATTATGGGGGATATGTTGTTGGAGAAACTCCAGAAGTTGCGATATTATATGGAAAATCACCTGTAAATTTAACCTAATTAAACATTTCATGCTTTAATATTAAAAATTGTTATAATAAATAATTGATTTTTTATGTTGCAAGGGAGTTCTGGCTGGTGTACCATTTTTCAATGAAGTTTTCAGTCAAATGGATTGCAGGTTTATTTTAATTATTTTTAGCTGGATAATTTTAAACTTTGAATTATTAATTTTATATATTTTTTAAAGTGTTGAGTGGTTTTTGAAAGAAGGAGATTATTTTGAGCCAATAAAAGAAATTGCTAAAGTTCAGGGAAAAGCTTGTAATATCCTCAGGGGTGAACGAATTGCTCTCAATATCATTGCACGTTGTAGTGGAATAGCAACCAGGGAGGCGAATTACTATATTTATATTATTAAATTTAAATTTTAAATTGAAATAATAAATTGAATTCTTTTTTTTTTTTTTCAGAAGCAAGAATTGTATAGATCTTAAAAGGGAACATAACTTCAAAGGCGTAATTGCGGGAACACGAAAAACGACACCAGGTAATCCATGATAATATTAGTTTGTTATCAAGCGTAATAATAATTTATTACACGGTATTGGTGCTTTATACAGGTTTTCGTCTTGTTGAAAAATATGGGATGCTTGTCGGGGGAGCTGATACTCATCGTATGAATCTCTCTTCTATGGTAATGTTAAAGGACAATCATATCTGGAGTCAAGGTTCCTATTTTCACTCTTTTATTAAATTTTGCTATCATTACATAATGTAATCTGTTACTCATTCTTTCAGGGTCAATAACAAAGGCAATTGAACGTGCTAGAAATGTTGGTGGGTTTTCACTAAAGATAGAGGTTGAATGTCGTACTGAGGCAGAAGCCGATGAAGCAATTCGAGCTGGAGCAGATGTGATTATGCTTGATAACTTTAAAGGCGAAAACTTAAGAACATGTGCCAAATCGTTGAAACAGAAATGGACAAATAAAAAATTTTTACTAGAATCTAGTGGTGGAATTACAGATGAAAATATTACCGAATTTTTTTGCCCCGGTATGTACAAATTTTATTTGTTAATATTTATGCTTGCTAACAAATAACTTTTTATTTATACTGACTTGATACATAATTATGGAAACTATATCAGATATTGATATCTTAAGTTTGGGATGTTTGTCTCAGGGAGTAAAACATGTAGACTTTTCTTTGAAGATTCGAAAAGAATCTTAGTTTCATATCAGTAACGGTACTTTTTATTAAATGAGGGAATATGTAATTTATGAATTAAATTACTTATGGTGATTACCAAATCTCTTACTATTTAAATATACAGTATTAAATCACACTGATTAATTCTTTAGTAATTTCAAAATGTAATTTTTCTTCTGGCCATTAATTGTATAGAGCAAGTATAAATCAAAAATTCGTAACCTTTATTTTTTTGGAGCAAAGTGATAGAGAGATAAGTGGCAACAAATGATATTATTTCCGTTCCGTTTGATGGTCCAATGTAGAGTGTCCAGAATTCTGCGTGCATAATCTGCTCATACTAGAATACTTTTTACATTTTTTTTTTTTTTTTTTTTTTTTTTTTTTAAAAAAAAAGAGGTCATTTCCTCGTTCCTTTATTTCATGTTAATATATGATTTACAATTTCTTATAAATGATACATTGATC